AAAAAAATATGCTAAGTATACTTGCAGCCAGACTAATTGTCAGTATACTTTAAGTGTGTTAATGATTAGTTAACTTGAAGTGTGCTATTTTGGAACAACTCATTTTGTACTAAGTATATTTTAATTGTAATTAAATTGTAGTAAAGCATAACTTTAAGTGTATTTAGTGTATTTGTATGTGCTAAATTGGAACAACTTCAAGTACACTTAGTACACTTTAAGTATATGCCTATTTACATGCTTGATTAGTGATATTAAAGTGTACTTTTTTTGTATTATGAGTACATTACAAATGAATTATGAGTGTCTTTGAAACCCACAAGCAATATACTATAAATGTATTATTTTTGAGTAAAAATTTGCAAATTTTCCCCCAATGCTGAATCCACTTTTTAAGGTCATTACAATAAATACATAACTTCAATGACAGACAGAGACACATTATTAACAATTCAAACAGTGTTTATTTAAACCTCAAATGGTTTTAGCATTGCAAAACATAAAATGCACCAACCATGTTTTTAAATAAAAAGAACGCTGAAAGAAACAAACACAAAAAAATAAAAACATTGAGCAACAGCAGCAACACACAAACTTCACTTTTTTGCTGAATTTGATTTTTTATTTTTTTTTACTTTATTCCGAACGTAAAATAAATACAATAAAACAAAAACAATACAACACAAAACAAAACTATTTTAAATTATACATGTCCAAAAAATATTGCAATTCTATAAAGAATTGCTCTGTTACACTTGCGCCTGACGGCCGCTCACACATCAGATGTACTTGTGTGTGGAAACTAACCTCAAAGTAAAAGAGGTCAGGTCAGAGGGCATGTTCATTCAACTTTTCCTTTTTACTATATCAGACTGTAAATCTCAACCCGTACTACTTAATAGAATGAACATCATGATTAGCGGTGAGGAATTGTATCAGTATGTCACGTCAATATTGCTTCCAGTGTATTAGTCAAACATACAGTATACAACAGAAGTGAGTACACCCAGGTAGCATCACTATAAATCACATGATACAACTCTATTCAAGTTGAAAAGAATGGTATTTATAGTACAGGTCAGGCTAAATTGTAATGTAGCTGCTTTGAGAAGTTTCACACCTTTTTTAGGAGCTTAGATGGAATAGGGTCTAACATGTTGTTGGTTTTGAAGATTTAACAAGTTTATACAGTTCTTCCTCTCCTATAGTAGAGAATGAGTGGAATTGTTCCTCAGGGGATCTATAGCACACTATCTGATGCGTTACTGTAGCTGACGGCTGCATGGTTACAATTTTATTTCTAATAGTATCGATCTTGGAAGTAAACTAGTTCATAAAGTCATTACTCCTGTGCTGTTGGGAAATGCAACACTTGTTGATGCTTTATTTTTCATTAATTTAGCCACTGTATTGAATAAATACCTGGGGCTATGTTTGTTTTCTTCTAAGAGAGACGAGAAGTAATCAGATCTAGCAGTTTTTAATGCTTAGTGGAATTGTTCCTCAGGGGATCTATAGCACACTATCTGATGCGTTACTGTAGCTGACGGCTGCATGGTTACAATTTTATTTCTAATAGTATCGATCTTGGAAGTAAACTAGTTCATAAAGTCATTACTGCTGTGTGGTTGGGAAATGCAACACTTGTTGATGCTTTATTTTTCATTAATTTAGCCACTGTATTGAATAAATACCTGGGGCTATGTTTGTTTTCTTCTAAGAGAGACGAGAAGTAATCAGATCTAGCAGTTTTTAATGCTTTTCTGTAGGATTGGTTACTTTCCCGCCAAGCAATACGAAATGCCTGTAGTTGTTTTCTGTGTCAGACTGTTTTCCTTAATCTTCCTTAAGTGTAAAGGAGCAACCGTATCTAAAATGTTAGACAAGAGAGAGTCCATAGTTTCTGTTACATCAAGTTGTTCTGAGGTATTGGATATGCTGAGGAAAGACTAGATAATGATCTGAGATATCATCGCTTGGCTGCATAATAATTTCAACACCATCGACATCAATTCCATGTGACAGTATTAAATCTAGAGTATGATTTCGACAATGAGTAGGTCCTGACACGTGTTGTCTAACCTCAATAGATTTCAGAATGTCTATGAATGACATTCTGATCCCAATGCATCTTTTTCATTATCAACATGGATATTAAAATCACCAACAATTAAAACTTTATCTGCAGCCAGCACTAACTCGGATAAGTGCAAGTGACCAGATATTATTTAAGAATTGAGGGGACGTCTCCTGTGCCTTATGGCAATTTTCAGACATTTCTGGACTCACTGGCTGATTTTTTAAGAGATTCCAGCATCCTGGTGAATCTTACCATACAATCCTTACCATATCTCTGGATGATAACTTGCATTGAGTAGCAAAGTTTCTAGACCAGAATGCCATATTGAATCATTTTTGAGAGAAGATTCTTGAGCGTAATGTACAAGTTTATGACGGTATTTGACGGGATCAAACTTTTGATTTAATACTGTCACATGGAATTGATGTTAATGGCATTGAAATTCTACAGCAGAGTGATGATATCTCGGATCATTACATAGTCTCGTGTATAATCCATATAGCTAAAGCTGCAAACGGTTCCCTGATATACGGGAACGAGTACTGTGTCGCTAGACACTGGGAAAAAGTCATTTTTTCTCCAATACCGAAGCCTTTTTTTAAATAACGCAGTGTAACTGCACGGCCATTGGTTTGTACAGTGAGATAAAAAACGAACCAATGGCGAGTCAGCAGAGTTCCACAAGCCTATGGCCACGAAGCCTGCCAATATGGGTGGGGCCATCTGGTGATATAAGCAGGCATTCTGGCATAGGATCCTCAGGTTACTTCGACTGAAGCGATGACACTGAGTCATGCAGCTCCATAGCATCTCAGGGAACCAAGGTTCACTCGTACTGCGTCGCTAGACGCTATGGGAACCAGTACAATCACGTCGTGCTATGGAGAGGAACGACTGATATGTGAACTTTCCTTAAACACCCAAGGGGCTCAGAGGGACAAGTATAATAGGGTAAGCCCTTCAAGTGGCAACGAGACAAACTCACAGAAGTCATGCCCAGCCTGGGTAATCGTTCCAAGAAAAACTTGTACAGCCTCGGCACCTAGGGAGGGTCGAGAGCGTGCAAGAAGTAAAGCAATTCTGGCGAGTCGGCCAAACGCAACTCAGAACTAGTCCTGCCCTCTGGCAGGTGCATGCCAACTATGCAGAAAGGACCCTAGCCTGTAAGGCAGGGACGTCCAGGTTGTAAAACCTAGCAAATGTGGACGGTGAGGCCCAGCCGGCCACCGCACAGATTTCTGCAATAGACACACCACTAGACCAAGCCCAAGAAGAGGCCATGCCTCTGGTGGAGTGGGCTCGTACTCCAATGGCGCATTGCAGGCCCAAGGAAGAGTATGCTAGCGTAATAGCATTAACTATCCACCGGTAAAGTCTCTGCTTTGTGACCGGATGACCTTTGGTGCGGCCACCGAAGCAAATAAAGAGCTGTTCCGACTGCCTAAACAGGGCGGAACGCTCAATGTAAATTCTCAGTGACCTGATGGGGCAGAGTAAATACAACTCCTGGTCCTTCTCCGAGGGAGGAAGCACAGAGTGTAATAACCATGCCTTGGCTCCAGGACGACCTTAGAGTCGCTGGGCCCAAACTCAAGGCAGGAAGGGCTCACAGAGAGCACCTGCAAGTCTCCCACTCGCTTGAACGATGCTAAAGCCAGTAGCAGAGCAGTTTTCAGTGACAGGAGCTGAAGGTCAGTTGACTGTAGCGGCTCAAAAGGGAGGGCTCTTAAAGGGTTAGTTCACCCAAAAATGAAAATTCTGTCATTAATTAATCACCTTCATGTCGTTTCAAACCTGTAAGACTTTCGTTCATCTTCGGAACACAAATTAAGATTATTTTGATGGAATCTGAGAGCTGTCTGACCCTGCTTAGACAGCAACACAACTGAAATGTTCCCAAGTCCAGAAACGTAGCAAGGAGATCTGTAAAATAATCCATGTGACATCAGTGGTTCATCCGCAATTATAGGAAGTAACGAGAATACTTTTTGTGCAAAGGGGGGAAAAAAACTACATTATACAACAATTCATCTCCGCATCACCCTGGTGCCCTTTTGGAGAATATCCACTGGACGTAAACAACGTATGCTGTTCTGTGTCAGCTGCGTCACACGGATACGCTGTTTCCATTCAGATCAAATCACAACAATGTAGGAAACAGATCCGGCGTGACGCAACTGACACAGAACAGCATACGTTGTTTACCTCCAGCGGATATTCTCCAAAATGGAGACGAATTGTTGAATAAAGTTGTTGTTTTTTTTCTTTTGCGCACAAAATGTATTCTCGTAGCTTCGTATAATTGCGGATGAAGCACTGCTGTCACATGGATTATTTTACAGATCTCCTTGCTACGTATCTGGACTTGGGAACATTTCAGTTGCTTAGAACCAGATTAGAACACAAAATACTTTGGGGCCAGAGATTTGAAGAAGTGGCTACAAAAGATTCAACCATTTCCAATTTTCTAATGCACCATTTAGTTTGGACTAAATGGTTTATTTTTCATGAACTTAAAAACACCGAAGTTCATTCCCAATTTACACAACATTCATGTTTAATTTCACTTTGATGGAAAAGTAATTGTTAACATAAGGCAGATGTCAGTTGCAGTGGGGGGGAAAAGAAGTGCACAGTCTGATTGTAATGAAATATATGCATTAAAAAATATCACTTTGGACCTTGTTTGATGAGGCCCCAGAAAGTGATGCATTCATTAAATATTCCAAAAGAATTAAAACTAGCTGCAGCAACATGTCATACTATGACAAGTAAATTCTATGCGAGCTTTTACATTTCAACATTCAAATATACAAGATAAATGTAACACATTCTTCTGAACCATTCAAGGTGAATGGAAATCTAAATAAGCCTACAATATAATTGTAATTACAACAATGTGATATCTTTTGGTGGACTGTGTTTTGGTATCAAACATTCAGCGAGATGTTCCTTCAAATGAAAATAAAGGTACAGCTAATTATGACAAATTCTTGTCACTAAAAGTAATGAGGTGAGGCCTGTAACATGCTCTGTGAGTTTTAGTTCACTGGGTCCAGTTAACATATGCATCAGTTGTCCATGTGCTTGGCATGTGGTCATCTTTGATAGCCGTGTTTTTGCCCTGGTTGGGGGTTTGTAGATTGATGTCATGTGTAAAAGCCTGACACGGTTGCCGTAGCACTCTTATTTTCTAGAGCAGGGGTTTCATGTGTTGCTGTGCCACTGGATTGTTGTTGGGTTTTAACAGCAGAGTCATGAGATTCAGGTGGCAGAAGGATGGAAATGTTGGGAGCAGGCTTGGGCTGCTTGGTCTCTGAGCTTTTGCCGCTACTCGCACCACACTCTGAAACATCTGCTGAAACACCTCTGGGTTTTCTGGCTGGAAAATCATCATGATCTGAAGGGAAAAAATATACTGAGTAAACAAACAGAAAGGGACACACTGGATTGTGACAAGTATATCTTGAGCTACTTCAGCAATTTTATCTGATAGTGTTTCCATTTCTTATGAATAACAGATTTCCCACACCTTCTGAACAATGAATTTGCATGACTTCTTTCTATGGACTTTCTAGTTGTTTGTGATTACTGGATAAGAATCTTTTTTTTTTCATTCATTCACTATAATTCAGACGATTTTGTACCACTTCACCCAATTGACAGATTCAGGTGGCAGAAGGATGGAAATGTTGGGAGCAGGCTTGGGCTGCTTGGTCTCTGAGCTTTTGCCGCTACTCGCACCACACTCTGAAACATCTGCTGAAACACCTCTGGGTTTTCTGGCTGGAAAATCATCATGATCTGAAGGGAAAAAATATACTGAGTAAACAAACAGAAAGGGACACACTGGATTGTGACAAGTATATCTTGAGCTACTTCAGCAATTTTATCTGATAGTGTTTCCATTTCTTATGAATAACAGATTTCCCACACCTTCTGAATAATGAATTTGCATGACTTCTTTCTATGGACTTTCTAGTTGTTTGTGATTACTGGATAAGAATCTTTTTTTTTCATTCATTCACTATAATTCAGACGATTTTGTACCACTTCACCCAATTGACAATTGGCAAATCGGACACCATTTGATTTGGTATGCTGCTCCAAATCTAACGAGACCAAACTGTTGGTCAAACTATTCAGAAGTTGTAAAGAAAATGTCAGTTTTTAAGATGACATTTAGGTGGCGCTGTGCTGAAACTATTCACATGCCCTCAGGTCATGCTTGGTATAGCACGTACCAAGTATGGTCAGAATCCGCTAAAGCATTGCGAACAAATAGCCTCACGTCCATTTTTGTGAGAAATTCACGAACAAGCTTTACGAGAACGGTTTGGTCTATTGAAAAGCTTTTTATAACTTTTTTCCAGCACAGACTTAATATGATCTGAGCCAATTTTGGTGAAAATCAGACAAACCGTCTAGGATAAGTTAGGAAAAGACCTGAACGCAAATTTAGCCTTTTCGTGGCTCTAGAAAGTTTGAGTTAGAAACTCCAAACTTGCTGTGGATAATATAGAGACTGTCCTCTATCTGTGCGCCAAATTTCATAACTTTCGCACAAGCAGTTCTATGGGCTGCAAGAAGAAGAATATTTCACCATCAATATATGCATTTAATGCAACATGCCTGATGCACTCTTCTCTGATGAGCACATCTTCTTGCCAAGAGATTGGGTGAATGGACAGGGCAAAACTTTTGCTGGAGTGTAAGTGTTCAAAGGAGCCTTCTTGGTGGGCACAGCTGAGGGAACAAATGAAACCAATAGAAAGCGGTTAATGTACAGTAAACCACACACATTCTACAGTGGCAGTCGGCGCATGATGTCTTGACTGTACCTGGGGAGGATGCAGATATTTCCAGTACTGGATCATGAGATATGGCTATGGAGGTGAGGAAGTCATCCACTTGTTTGAGAGACAGGGAATTATGGAGGGTCTCCAAGGGACAGATTGAAGGAACCATGGAGTACAACTCAAAACCTTCAATGAAATATACCAGAATATCAGAATCTGAAAAAAAGAATTATATAGCTTGAACTATAACTTAAGATCTTGGGACACATGATAGAAACATGGCGTTCCATTTCCTCTGAAAGTGACAAGCAACACCACCGTCAAACATGAGTTTGAGGTCTGCAGGATGGAGGGCAGATGGGTCACACAAGGAACAGCTCACAATACCTTCAATCGACCAAAAACATTGGCCAAGATGAATTTATGAAGCGGAAATGATAATCGACCTACCTTGTACACGTTTTTTTTCTTCTTCTACATTTCTCAGATGAAACAACATGATTATGATTTGATTTATTCACATCATGCAATTTGGCAGAAAATGTCTGAATATAATCTTCAGGAGTCTTTCTAATAAAAGCAATAAGCAATGAGAGGCCATGCATTACAGTAATTATTCCACTGTAACACACAGTCTCTCATGGTTTATTGTATTAATACACACCAGCAACAGTTATAGAATATAAAAGACACCAACAGTCATAAATGGTTACATTTATCGGTAACACTTTACAATAAGTATACACTAATCAAGTACTTACAAATCATTAACAAACTATTAGTTTATAGTTAATTCATAGTTTATAAACATTAATAGACTCTATGCAAGGAAATTCTTCATTCATTATCACCGTAATTAACACAATTATTATTAGTTTAATTAGCTCTTAGTAAAGGAATTGTTAATTGCTAATAAGAAGTTCTATCTAGGGGATAGAATATACAGTTTGTACAGGGTAAAAACCATTACGCCTATAATGTATGTAAAAGTAAATCTTACAAATCATTAACAAACTATTAGTTTATAGTTAATTCATAGTTTATAAACATTAATAGACTCTATGCAAGGAAATTCTTCATTCATTATCACCGTAATTAACACAATTATTATTAGTTTAATTAGCTCTTAGTAAAGGAATTGTTAATTGCTAATAAGAAGTGAATAATTCTCACTTTAGATTAAGTCACAGAAAATGGGAAAATGTCATTAATTAAAAACTGTCTCTATCTCTAGTTTTCTGTGATGGGTAGTCTAGGGGATAGAATATACAGTTTGTACAGGGTAAAAACCATTACGCCTATAATGTATGTAAAAGTAAAGGTTGGTTTAAAGCACTTAATTAACGACATTTTCCCATTTTCCGTGACCTAATCTAAAGTGAGAACTATTTACTATTTAATAAGTTGTGAACAAAGCATTATCTAACTCTTTACTATGAGCTTACTAAACAATAATAATTTGTTTTAATTACAGAGATAATGAATGAAGAACTCACTATTTGTATAGAGTCCCTTAATGTGTTAACTACAGTTTATAAACTATAATTAACTCTAAACTAATAGTTTGCAAATGATTTGTAAGTACTTTATTAGTGTATACTTATTATAAAGTGTTACTCATTTATCAAAATTAAAAATCTAAATAACCAATTCTTCTGAATTCTTCAGTTCATTAGTCTAACCCTGTTAATTTTACTGTGGACTCATTCAATCTGAACTGATTACATTTAGATTATTTATATTAATATTGAAGTGCTGTTCTACTTAACACCCAGATTGATTTGCTAATGTTGTGAAAAACACACTACCTATTAACAAAAAAAGAAGAGGCATCTTAAGAAGTGAAGAAGTGAAGGAGCTAATAACACAACAATGTAAGGCAACAAATATTAGGCAATATTCAGATTATTAGGTTTGGTGATTTACTTAGAATAGGTCTTAAATGTGAAGATAAGATTGTCTCAGTAATTATTTAAAAGAGTAAAATACATTAAAAATACAAACAAGCATGTGTTACTTTTCTTAACAAGGAGCATTTGCAGAAGGAAAAGTAACACATGCTTGTTTGTATTTTTAATGAATGTGAAGATAAGATTGTCTCAGTAATTATTTAAAAGAGTAAAATACATTAAAAATACAAACAAGCATGTGTTACTTTTCATTCTGCAAATGCTCCTTGTTAGGAAAAGTAACACATGCTTGTTTGTATTTTTAATGTATTTTACTCTTTTAAATGTGTGTGTGTGTGCGTTACTTATATTACATATAAACCAAAAACGTACAATGCACAGAGGATAATTTTCTTGTGGATAGATAAAGTTAAAAATGAAAGAGAATTCAGATTTGTATTTCCTCTATGAGAGATCCCAGGGGGCCTGGAGTTTGGTGAGGGTCAAAAATAGGGTGTAAAGACTAGATCTAAATACTACAAAATAAAGTAAACACTAATTAGACAGGATAGAAGGAGTATATTAAGCATGATTAACACTTACCACTGAACATACTGGAAAACACTGACCCATTTAGAAATTGAGATTAAAAGAAAAACAAACAAACAAACAAACAATAAAAATGGTATGCTAAAAATGAGCAACTTTCTAAACTTCCAAAAACATCATCTTAGATGTTATCAACTTATAAAACACTACAGCACATGTATTAAATATTCAGGGATACAATTAGTGCTGGGCGGTATGACCAAAAATTTATATCACGGTATTTTTCAAAATTATACCGGTTTCACGGTACATGACGGTATTTTTTTTTTCATGCATGACCGGGTGTTAACCATATTTTCTACTGATTGAGAGGAAATACTGCAGTATATTGACTTAGAATGCCCTGTTTTACTGTCATGATGTAAAAATACCACACTAAATAGTGACTAAACACGACCCCTCATCAAATGAGTCACTCATTTATAATCGCGGCATCGTCTGATAAAATCAGCATACATCTACACTAAAGAGCGGCTATGCGGTGGTTTTGGCTATATTACTTTTTTGTCTCATGCAGCGCACTGCCTGCGTCTGAGTAACAAACAAAAAAAACAACAAACAAAAAAGTGCATGTGATATTAACAGACGAACTACGCTCATATTTATAATTCCAAACAATCAGTAAGCGACAGGTGCTAGGAAACGCTGTTTTGTACTCATTTATTGACGAGTCGCTGCGATGCGACTAACTGAATGCGCTGCTTCTCTGCCGCTCACTGCACAGAACAGACGCCGAGAGAGGTGACACTTCTCCAGGAGAGTCAGACCTCGTGTTCGCGGGACAGCACTGATAAAATCCTCCAACTGAACCACAGCTAAGGTTTATCCCAAAAAGTCATAGGTTTGTCAGTATGAATGATGAGCGTGGGAGCTGATGGCAGGGGGGCGGTGGATATTGTGGATGAGTTCTTCTGTTGACGAGTCGCTGCGGTGCGGCTAACTGAATGCGCTGCTTCTCTGCCGCTCACTGCACAGAACAGACGCCGAGAGAGGTGACACTTCTCCAGGAGAGTCAGACCTCGCGTTCGCGGGACAGCACTGACGAAATCCTCCAACTGAACCACAGCTAAGGTTTATCCCAAAAAGTCATAGGTTTGCCGGTATGAATAATGAGCGTGGGAGCTGATGGCAGGGGGGCGGTGGATATTGTGGATGAGTTCTTCTGTGTCATCACGTTCTATTAGTTCTACAGCTTTAGTTTCTGAACTTTCACGCTTAGTAACACAAACAGCTGTTCCCTCACCACAGTGCAACAGTGAAAAGAGACCCCTTTCAAACGGTGTCGCGTTCCGAACGTTGTTTAAAGGGATAGTTCACCCAAAAATGAAAATTTGATGTTTATCTGCTTACCCCCAGGGCATCCAAGATGTAGGTGGCTTTGTTTCTTCAGTAGAACACATTTGATGATTTTTAAGTCCAACCGTTGCAGTCTATCAGTCGTATAATGGATGGCAATGGTAACAAAATCTACGAGAGTAAAAAAACATGCACAGACAAATCCAAATTAAACCCTGCGGCTCGTGATGACACATTGATGTCCCAACACACGAAACGATCGGTTTGTGCGAGAAACCAAACAGTATTTATATCATTTTTTACCTCTAATACACC